CGCGGGCTTAGGCAGTCCACTCACCTCAGCCTCCCAAAGGCGCGGGATTACAGGCTGAGCCACCGAGCCCGGCTAAAAAACCCCTTTATTTTTATTTTCTTAATTTTTTTTTTTTTATAGTCTCGCTATGCTGTCCAGGCTGATCTGGAATTTCTGGACTTGAGTGATCCTCCCACCTCAGCTTCCTAAAGCACTGGGATTATAGGTGTGAGCCACTGTGCCCGCTGACTCCTTATTTATTTGTCATCTTTCATGTGCCAAGTGTCCTAGTCTATGCTTTATGTATATTATCTCATTTAATCCTCACCCACAACCTTATGAAGGAGAAAACTGAGACACAGAGAGTTTGGTTTGGTTTTTTTTTGAGCTGGAGTCTCACTCTGTCGCCCAGGCTAGAGTACAGTGGCATGCTCACAGCACTCCAGCGTCTACATGCTGGACTCCGACGATCCTTCTGCCTCAGCCTTCCAAATAGCCAGAACTACAGGTGCGTGCTACCACACCTGGCTAATTTTTTTATTTTTATTTTATTATTATTATTATTTTTTGAGTTGGAGTCTCACTCTGTTGCCCAGACTGGAGTGCAGTAGCACGCTCCTGGCTACTGCACCCTTGACCTGCTGGGCTCCAGCAATCCTTCTGCCTCAGCCTTCCAAGTAGCTGGAACTACAGGTGTATGCTACTAAGCCCAGCTAATTTGATTTATTGTAGAGATGAGGTCTCGCCAAGTTGCCCAAGTGGGTCTCAAACCTGCGGATTCAGGCAGTCCACTCGTCTCGGCCTTCCAAAGTGCTGAGATTACAGGCTGAGTTACCGAGCCCTGCCTAATTTTTTTTATTTATTGAAGAGACGAGGTCTTGCCAAGTTGCCTGGACTGGTCTTGAACCAACAGGCTCAGGCAATCCACTTGCCTCAGCCTCCCAAAGTGCTGTGATTACAGGCTGAGCCACCAAGCCTGGCCAAGACACAGAGAGTTTATAGGACCTGCCAACTTATTGGAGGATTCAAATGAGGTCTATTTGAACTCTTTTTTTTTTTTTGAGTTGTCTCACTCCGTCGTCCAGACCTGGAGTGCAGTGGCACGCTCATGGCCACTCCAGCGTCGACCTGCTGGGCTCCAGTGATCCTTTGCCTCAACCTTCCAAGTAGCTGGAACTACAGCTGTGTGAACTCTTATGCCTGTTTTGCTCACTCATCCTTGACCACAAGGAACTTCTAGTTGGCCAGGTTAGGCAGCCAAATCCACAATGAGTTCAACTGTTGTTGGGCACGTTTAGTAATAACCCTAGGAGCATGTCACAGGATGATTATTATTGTTATTTTTTGAGTTGGAGTCTCACTCTGTTGCCCAGAGTGGAGTGCAGTGGCATGCTCCCAGCCACCGCAGCCTCGACCTGCTGGGCTCTGGTGAGCCTTCCAAATAGCTGGTACTACAGGTGCACACTGCCACGCCCGGCCAATTTTTGATTTATTATAGAGATGAGGTCTCACCAAGTTGCCCGGGCGGGTCTCAAACCTGCAGGGTCAGGCAATCCACTTGCCTCGGCCTCCCAAAGTACTGGGATTACAGGCTGAGCCACCGAACTCGGCCAGCAGGATTATTTGATCTTGTGTCTCACTGAGAAAAGGGGGGCTTGAACATTTTGTGTTTCCAGCTCTGTTGCAGAAAGACCTGTGTCTTGCTGTGCCAGCTCTCCATTCACCCAATGGTGTGCCTTTTCTGTTGTCCCTGCTATTGCAGACATCTTTGTTCGGAGAGGGAACCTACCTCACCAGTGACTTGAGCCTGGCCCTCATTTATAGCCCCCATGGCCATGGGTGGCAGCACAGCCTCCTCGGCCCCATCCTGAGCTGTGTGGCCGTGTGTGAGGTCATTGACCATCCAGATGTCAAGTGCCAAACCAAGAAGAAGGGTGAGTGGGTCCTTGGCCCAGACCTGAACTGCAGGCTCTATTGGGTACACAGGTTCTTGATGCTTGCCTGGTGGAGGGTGCACCCATCACATGCCAGAAATGGGCTGGGGCCAGCTCAGTGCAGGTCAGGGCTGCCTTCAGTGAGCAAGCAGCCTTCTTTTTTTTTTTTTTCTTTTTTTGAGTTGGAGTCTTACTCTGTCGCCCAGACTGGAGTGCAGTGGCCACTCCCGGCCACTGCAACCTCGACCTGCCAGGCTCTGGTGATCCTTCCGCCTCAGCCTTCCAAGTAGCCGGAATTACAGGTGCGCGCTACCACGCCCGGCTGATTTTTTATTTATTGTAGAGACGAGGTCTCGCCAAGTTACCCAGACGGGTCTTGAACCCGCAGGCTCAGGCAGTCCACTCACTTCAGCCTCCCAAGGCACGGGATTACAGGCTGAGCCACCAAGCCCGACTGCAAGCAGCCTTCTTACTGGAGAAGATCATTTACTGCAAGGCAGGAGGCAGGGGTGCCAGGTGAGGCCTGATGAGGTTCATGGGGGTAGCTCAGAGGAAGGGCAGTTGTGGTGGGTATAAGTGGTCAGGGAAAACTTTGGGCAGGAGGTGAGATTTAATTTTTTTTTTCTGAGTTGGAGTCTCTCTCTGTCGCCCAGGCTGAAGTGCAGTGGCATGCTCATAGCCACCCCAGTATCAACTTGCTGGGCTCAGGCAATCCTTCTGCCTCAGCCTTCCAAGTAGCCCGAACTATGGGCACACGCTACCATGCCCAGCTAGTTTTTTGATTTATTGTAGAGATGAGGTCTCTCCAAGTTGCCCAGGCTTTTCTCATACCCTTGGGCTCAGGCAGTCTTCTCACCCTGGCCTCCCAAAGTGCTGGAATTGCATGCTTGAGCCACCATGCCCAGCTGAGATTTGATTTTGTAAGTGAGTAGTGAAACCATACATAGCCTAGGCTCCTTGAAGTTAGGAACAAGGCCTCTTTCCTTCATGGGCACCTGGTGTCCATAGAGAGCACTTGAGATTCAACAGATACTTGCTGAACTGAAGTTGAGGACTTTGGGGCCAGACCCTTCCATTCACTCCAGGGTGTTCCGGGGCCCTGAGCATGTGAGAGGCAGCTGAGACCTGAGGGTCCTTGGCTTTATTGAGCATGGTGGTATGCTAGCCACCTCATCCAACCCCCGGCATGTCTCTGAGACAATTTGTCCTTTGCCCCCGTCTCTGCTGCCCTCCTCAAAGGGCATCACGGGATCATCATTTCAGGCTCCGTATTGGCCTGTTGGATCCACTGAGACAAGGAGAATGCAGAAAACAGACTGTTCTGGCTTCTAATGTAAAACACCTGGAATCCTGAGAGAGAGGTCCAGGTCTGACAACACCCTCCTAAGCCAGATTGCATGAGTATTTGCATTTATAATTCTTGGGACGTTTTCAAGCCATGACATTAAACATCAGCCTCTGCTGTCACGCAGCTTTGGCCTTTTTTCTGTAGCAGTCTTTCATCTTATTCAGAGAAAAAATTTGTTTTTTAAACAAGTCTTGGTACAAAGGGTGGAAGATAAGTGTTTTAAGACACTCAAGTCCAGAATGGTTTATTTAAAGTACCCACTTAAGAGACTTATGAGACTGAGTCCTGGTCCCAGAGTGGTTTCTGCTGTGACCATGAGTTAGTGCCTTTCCTCTGTTTTTTCCACCCAGTTCGATTTTTGTTTTACTTTCTCTTCTTTGTCTCCCTGGTCTTTTCCTATTTCTTTTTTCTCCCTCTGCCTGTCTGCTTGCTGGACTCTTCTGTTTCTTGAGTGCTGCTTCATGTCCACACGTAGGCCTGTCCTCAGCCTGCCATGACTGCCCCCCATGTGGGACCTGGAGGCTTGACTCGTTCCCATTTATAATTTGCTGCTTTGGTTATTGTGGTCCCCGCAGTAAAGGTGTGCCTTACTCTCATTACTCAGATTCCAAGGAGATAGATCACAGAAGAGCGAGGATCAAACACAGTGAAGGGGGAGACATCCCTCCAAAGTACTTTGTGGTCACCAATAACCAGCTCCTGCGGGTGAAGTACCTGCTGGTGTATTCGCAGAAGCAGCCCAAGAGGTGAGGAGGACAACCCCCACATGGGGCCAGGAGAACAGTTCACGGCTGCGTTCAGAGTGTGGGATTTCGCAGGTACCGGTTCCCTGGCCTGAGACCTCTGCTAGGTGTGGAGTAGATGACACGCCATGCTGGACAAGGGAGGGGTTGAGGTGTGAGGAGGGCAAGATGTGGTCCTGGCCCTAAGGGGCTGTGTGTTCTAGTGAGAAAGTAGGGAGGTTTGTGAATACAGACAGAATGAGGGACTGACAGAAGCCATACTGGCTGCCCGACAATGTGGCCCCTTAGCCATGAGGCCCATGATCACTGCCAGAAACAGAACGGAGGTTAAGCTGGGAGGCAGGGCCGTGGAGGGACCCAGAACCCAAGCCCAGCTTGGTTACTCCCATGATGACTGTTGATCTGCCGCCTGCCCCTCTCTGGCCCTGAGTTGCTTCACCGTGGTCTCTAAAATGAGGGTGCTGAACCCCACAGCCAGTGGAGGGTCCAGCCCATCTCAGCAGTGTGGCAGTGGAGCTGTGCAAGCTCACCAGGGTTGAGACCCCTAGTCTTGTTGCCACATTGGGCCCCTCGGTGGCATTCCTTGCAGGGATCCACAGCAGGTGAGCAGAAATGACAGGAAAGGGGCCACTTTTAATAGCCCCATGCCAACTTGTACACACCAGTGGCTTCCGGGCTTTCAGATTTCATAAACCAGTACAATCTTCCCTCCCACGTCCAAATTTGAGCACTCTAGATAGGGTTCCTGAGTCTGGGGACATTATCCTTTGGTTTAATGTCATCTTACTTTTTCTCCCTGAAAATTCCATTCCTCTCCCACTTCTCCCTGGAGGGTCTCGTCAGTCTCTTCAGTGTGATCCCCAGCCTTTTTGGCATCAAGGTTTTGTGGAAGACAATTTTCCACAGACCAAGGAGGATCATCAGGCATTGGATTCTTTTTTTTTTTTTTTGGAGTTGGAGACTCACTCTGTCACCCAGGCTGGAGTGCAGTGGCACACTCACGGCCACTACAGTGTTGACCTGCTGGGCTCAAGTGATCCTTCCACCTCAGCCTTCCAAGTAGCCGAAAATACAGGTGTGCGCTACCATGCCCGGCTAATTTTTGCTTTATTGTAGAGATGAGGTCTCACCAAGTTGCCCAGGCGGGTCTCGAACCTGTGGGCTCAGGCAATCCACTCCCCTCGGCCTCCCAAAGCGTTGGTATTACAGGCTGAGCCACTGAGCCCAACCCAGCATTGGATTCTTGTGAGGAGCTCACAACCTAGATCCCTCACAGGTGCAGTTCACAGCAGGGTTCACTCTCCTTTGAAAATCAAATGCCACCACTGCTCTGACAGGTGGCAGAGCTCTGCTTACCTGCTGCTCACCTCTTGCTGTGTGACCCACAGACCAGTCCATGACCTGGGAGTTAGGGCCCCTGGTTTAGATGATCTTCTAGTGGGCCAAAGAGGACTCCCCCAGCTCAGATTTATGTCTGTATATGTCTAAATGTGAAAAGACTTGCTAAATCACCTGTCACCTGCCATCATCTGGGCAGACACCCTAAGCTAGGTCATTCTTCTGGATACAAAGTCATGCTTAAGAAAATATGGGTTATAAAAGGTAAAAGAGGAGCTGTAAAAGAGATGATCAAGATGAGCTCATGCATAGCTGTCTTTTTGCATTTAGAAAATGTTCTGTTGAAAGGTGTGTTGGTGCCAGGGCAAACAGCCCCAGATTTCTCGAGCAGGGAAGCACGAAGCTTCATCTGGCTCACGCAGAGGATGAAATTCATCATTTCATCTCCTTTGAGCCAGACTTGTTACATATACTTTTAAACAAACTTTTCTCTCTTTTTGCCAAGACCACTCTTTTCCCTCTTAGCAGGGCTTCGAGCCAGCTTTCCTGGTTCTCCAGCCATTGGTTCACAGTCCTCATATCCCTGTATTTGCTGCTGCTGCTCTTGGTGAGTGTCATCAACTCCTCTGCCTTCCAGCACTTTTGGAATCGTGTGAAGAGATAGTCTTCCTGGGCCCGGTGTGAGGCCACCTCAGTGATGTGCCTTATGACAGCGTGTTCTGTATCTCCTGTGCCTCCCATCCAGCCATGCCAAGCCTGGGGGCCAGTAGGGGGACCAAGGATGACTCATGTGCCATAAGAGTCTCAAATGCCTTTGACGATTCCCCCTGCCACACTCTGGCCAACAGGACCATGGTTCTTCATGCTGAGGCTTCAGGGGAGCCTTCCCATCTGTTCCTTCCTGAACAGTACTAGGGAGTTGGCTTGTCAGCCAGGGCCAAAGGAAAAAGTCCTGCTGCATTTAAAAACAAAGTGTCTAGGCTGTCAGTGGTGTGTTTACAATCAGTCTTGGCGGAGGTTGGCCCTTTCTCTAATGCCTTCTGGAAGGCGGAACATGTGGGGACCATAAATCACTAGGCGGTTGTCTTGTTTTGACTTGAGACACCCAAGAGAAACAGTCATGTTTCTCATAAAAATCAACGGGATCATTTTTGAATTTCATCAGCCTTTGTGTGTGAGCACAAAACATTTTAACAGTTTTCTTAAATCAACAAACAGCCTTCTGCTACAGCCATACCCCCCTTCCCGCAAACCATGGACGAGAAGAAAAGAAGTCAGCGGCATGTCAGAAATATGGGCTTAACAATGAGAGCTCGAGTCATCTTTTTCTAAAAGTTGCCAGCTGCTGATTAGAGCTGAAATGGAACCAAATGTTTGTTTTCTGATTTTTAAAAAAATAGCTGTTTGAAAAATTAGTCTTTGTAAGCTGAGTAAAAGGGGAAATTTCTAAACCTAGAGCACTGTTTGGCCAGTGTCCTCATCCTCTTCTCTTGCTGTGTTTTAGAGAAAGGGGTTTGAGCTGTAGGCTCGCCTCCTGTTCTCATTCTCACGAAGCTGCCTTTTGTGGCCTGCTGGCCTTCGAGAAGAGTCCTGCCTCAGTGTGCCACAGATTCAACTGGGTGGAGCCTCCCTCTGATGGGCTGCAGGTCTCTTGGTAGTCAGTCTGGACTCTAGTGGGTAGGAGAAGCTTTCTGACTGCCCGGAGAGCTGTGGGCCCACTCATTGTGTTCTTTGCCCTCTTTTTCCTGTGGGTTTTGGCCATAATGGAGCTCCATATGACTTGGGGCTGAGATTTCTGTAAAGAAGGGGAAAATTTTTTCTGTACTTTGTAAAGTTGTGAAAAATCCACTGTCACAGTTTTTGCATTGAATATTGGGACACTTCAAAAATAATAAAGATATTTTCATAACTACAAGGTCATCCTTGTGACCACTTTCAACCTCAGTGTGAGCCTGTTGCATATACTCTGTTATTAAAAATCTTATTCTCTCTTTCCTTGTTCGAGGGAGTCGTTTGCTGAGAGTGTGTATCACCAGGATGTCTAGTAGGGTTGAGTTTCTAGTCAATGATAAACAAACTCAAGCACCTACTGTGTGCTGAGCACCATGAGTATTAGCAGGATCAAAGTCAAGATACCCCTGCACTCAGGGAGCTTTCAGGAATGTCAGCGATTTGCAGTGTTATGAGGAGGTTTTGGGAAACACTTGATAAGGAATCCCAGCCCGGTCTGAGGTCGGCAGCACAGAGGTGGCACTCAGCACTACAAGGCACCTCTCGGATACCCACTCCTTTAATCTGCACAGCAGACCCTTCCACTTGATAAGAGTTGAGTAGCCAAGGCTATAGGCTGGGGGAGCTGGGAGTTGAGTCTGGCGGACTGCTTCCATGTCAGTCTCATAACCAGCCCTGCCTCCCACCCAAAGGAACTGGTTTCAAGCTAAGCGATGGAGGAAGTGTTTCAGGCAGAGGAAACAATACATGCAAAGACCTAGAGTTCCCGGAAAAGCTCAAAGCAGTGGGATTGTAAAGGAAGAGGTGGGGTGAGATATCAAACTGGAGAGATTAAAAGCCATTAGGTTTTAAACAAGAAAATGATGAGATTGAGTTTTCAGAAAAATCACTCCAATGGCAGTTGGAAAATGGATTTAGGATTATTTTGAGGATTAAAAGGATTGATACAGTAGTGCCCTGTGTAGACTGCCTATATGTCAGCTGCTTTATTATTATTATTATTATTATTTTATTTATTTTTTTGAGTAGGAGTCTTACTCTGTCACCCAGGCTGGAGTGCAGTGGTACACTGCTCACGATCATCGCAGCCTCAACCTGCTGCGATGGATCAATCAGGTGATCCTTCCACCTCAGCCTTCCAAGTAGCTGGAACTACAGGTGCACACTATCATACCTGGCTGATTTTTTGATTTATTGTAGAGACGAAGTCTCACCAAGTTGCTCTGGCTGGTCTCGAACCCCTCAGCTCAGGCAGTCCTCTCACCTCGGCCTCCCAAAGTGCTGGAATTACATGCTTGAGGCACTGGCCCGGCCTATTTTTATTTTTAATGACCCAGCAAAGTTGAGAGCCTGCGGAGGAGACAGGAGGAAACCAAATGGCAAAGTGTCCCAGAAGCCAAAAGGAGGGCTGAGGAGCCGGGTTTCTGAGTGGGAAATCCCAGTTTCAGTGGCGTTTAGAGTTGAAGATGTGGACAATGTCGAACCACATGGATGTGAGGGTCTCCATTGTTTCCAGGAATTCTCAGATCCCGAGACCTGGCTGCATGTCTCTGATACACCTGCATGGATTTGACTCTGTGGTCACAGTGGCCCACTGCTAAAGGGCAGTGCTGAGGGTAGTCTCTCATGCGGGCAGTATTTCCTTCAGATCCAGCACTGCTTTTGCTGAGTTTTATGCTTCGCTCCACCCCCCAAAAAAGAAAAACTGGCAACGCAATACCTGATTGATTGTGGGGACAGAGGATAAATAAAGAATGGTCCTGCCCTCCATGAGCTCTGGGGCCAGCAAAGAACCGTGGGACAGTCACAGGACGTGGGACTGAAGGTCCTGGAGTCTAAAGGGTCCGTGTGGGTAAGAGGGAGACTGGGGCCACATTACCACCCCCAGGGGCTTGGGCACTCTTGCCTCATGGGCCTTCCTTCCTCCATGAACAAGTGTTTAAAATTGTATCTTATGACCGCATTGGCATAACGACTAATATACTCAATGTACTCAATTGACTAATGTACTCAAACATTTTCTTCCACTTAAAAGCTTATTTTTCTGTTTTTAAAAGAAATGAAAACATTTTTGCAGTGTGGGCCTCAGCACAGAGCATGTGTCTACTGGGTGAGCTGGCTCTGGGCTAGGGCACTGGGTCCACAGGATCTGCAGGCACTTGGAAGTGGAGCAGCAGGAGAAGCCGCAAACCCTCAGTGAGACCCACAATTCTAGTTAGCACTGGCCCTAAATCTAAGGCAGATCCCACAGGCCAAGCAGCTTCCAGAAAAGGCACGTTTGGGGTCCTGGGTGTGGGAGCGCAGAGGCTTCCCTGTCCACAGAGGAGGAAGGGGCTGTTCCCTGTGGGCACACCCCACTAGGCCAAGAGTTTTGCCAGTTGACATCGGACACCAGATCACGGTTCAGTTGGAGCCCCTCATGGGGCCTAGTCGCCTAGGTCGTGTGGAAAGCAACCCCATCCACCCTCTGATCAGTGCCATTATCAGGACAACACTTGCTTCCAGAGGGTGCCTGCATCCCAGAAGCTGTCAGTTTCTACCACGTGGGGAAGGGGCCTTGCTCTGGGGGGATGTGTGTGTGCATGCATGTGGAAGAAATGGAGCAAGGATGAGGCTCAGTATCATTTCTGATCAATTCATGTCATTAAACACGAATTGCCTACAAACCAGGACAGGGCTGGTGGGTTCGGCTTAAAGAAGTTTTCCTTTAGAATGTGGTTCCATTCCATCTGAACCATTCTTGTTGCTGAGCCCAGGAGGTGTGTGTTGGCTCTGTTGACTTACCTGTTGCCATAGTGAGTCCTAGGCCCCAGCTAGATTCAGCTTCTCACACAAACAGAGCATGCCCCTCCCTGAAGCTCCACGGCCCCCACCGCCTCACCCCACACCCCCCACCATGCCCCACCCTGTGAGTTTTCCATCTCTTGGCTTTTGTTTCTGCCTTTGTCAGTGTCCCCTCTGGATGGGTTTCTATTTGTTTCCACACTGCCTGGGCCGTGCACTGTCTGGGAGACATGTCCTGTGCTGCCTCCACCCTGATCTGTTCAGAACAAGCTCCTTCCTCTCCATGCATCTCCAGCCTGACATTTGCAACATCCAAAACAAACCACAGCATTTTGAAGCAAGATGGAAACCACCATCTCCACCCACCCTGGCTGGTGCCCTTGTTTGCCTGGGAAGGGCTTTTCAAAAATTTCCAGGATTCCACTGCAGTCCTGAACAGGAAAAGCAGTGTATAGTGAATACTGACAGGGTGAGGCTTTGCTTGTGTTAAAAATGTGGCTTTCTGCGTTAAAATTCAACTGCAAGCAGCGTGAGGGCAAGACCTAGGTTGTCTTTTTTTTTTTTTTTTTTTTTTAGTTGGAGTCTCACTCTGTCACCCAGACTGGAGTGCAGTGGCTGCTTCCGGCCACCACAGCCTCGACCTGCTGGGCTCTGGTGATCCTTCCGCCTCAGCCTTCCAAGTAGCTGGAACTACAGGCGTGCACTACCACGCCTGGCTAATTTTTTGATTTATTGTGGAGATGAGGCCTCACCAAGTTGCCCAGGCGGGTCGCGAACCCGCAGACTCAGGCAATCCACTCACCTCAGCCTCCCAAAGCGTTGGGATTACAGGCTGAGCCACCAAGCCCAGCTCCTAGGTTGTCTTTTATGCCCACATCATTAAGATATGGTGGGTGCTCAGGAAAAGTGTGCTGAGTGAATAAGTAGATGAAAGGTCACCAGAAATCTCCCCGCTGTAGTGGGGGGTCGATTGAGTGTGAGCAGGAGATGGAGCTAGACTTGAGAAAACGCGTGTTGGCAAGGTGCTGTGGGTGGTGAGAGCTTCGGGGAAGGTTGTGGGTGTTCTGCTGGATATTAGGGAGTCCCATTTAC